GGTCAGTAACGCCAGCCCTCGGCCCAGACTTGAGAGAGGAGTCACATTCGCATTGGCTCCAGCCTGCCGGTCAGTGTTGCAGCCCTCCCTGGAGATCGGGTGGAGCATCACTGCCTTTCTCCTAACCCTCAGGACAGGAGCTGTTTCAGCTGCCCCAGAGGTTCTGGGAGGGAAAGCAAGGGGTTGAGATTCTATGGCCTGATTAGCCCCATTCTAGAGCCACAGCTGGGGAAGGTGGGGGAGCCAGAGGGTTGGGATGTTAGGGTGCAGCTATGCTTACCAGGTACCGCAGTCGGCCTCACCCCTAAACTTCTCCAGTCCAGGAGGTGCCTGGGGTCTGGCATTAGGCCCAGACTGTTGAGCAGGTGCTCCTGCCTGTTTACTCATCTCTGCACCTGCCGTCCGGAGACCCGGCCCAGCCCCAGGCCCTCCACCCGCTCCTGAGCCCCCACCATCTAGCTCCCTCTGATGGGTGAATGTGTACTGTGTCTCGGGTCCAGTATATGAATTGTGAGCAGGGTTCATCTATTTTAAACACAGATGTTTACAAAATAAAGAGTATTTCAAACCACAGGTGTGGGTGTGTGTCCCTGTCTGCGCCCCTGGGAGCAGGTCTTGCTCAGACCCTGGCGGTTAAGGGGCGAGGCAGTGCTGGTGGAAGCGGCCCCAGAGCCCTAAAGCAATGGCAGTAGGATGACAAGGGGAGTGGCAAACGTCTCCCATTTTGTACCTTTTCAATGCCACCTGCAAGGGAGCCCCAATGAAAGCCCCCTTACTCTGCAGTGGGCTTATACTGCAGAAATAAGACTGAGCAGAATCATTGAGATGATGAATATCTATGTCTGAGGGAGTCTTTCAGGCTGAGAAGGTTCTCCCCTATCAGATGGCACAGGAACGGGCCTTCCTGAAGGCATGAGGAGGGCTAAGTCATCTTTCAGGGGTTCATCCTAGCCCTGTGATGGACTGCCCCAGGGGAGCAAGGCGGACCAGGATCTTGGAGGTCGGGGGGGGGCTGTTGAATACTAACCTTGGGGTACAGAGCTGATGGAAGAGGCAGAGAATGTTAGGGAGTGAGGGTCGATTGAAGATAGAAGGCAGGACCATAGTCTAAGATCTTAGCCTGCACATTCCAGTTTAGAGTGCTCGTAAGACTATTTCCTCAATTCCACCGGTCATACTGTGAGATAAGGAGGGCGATTATCTTTATCCTGGCTCAGCAGTAAGGAAACGGGTGCCCAGGGGCCCCACGTAGCTGGCAGAGTCGTGGCTAGAGACAACCGAATTGAAATCTCTGGAGGAGAAAGTGTGGCCCTCTCTATTTAGAAAATTCTTAAGAACCACTGGAGTTGAGAACCCCTGCCCTGAGCTTTCTGCCTGCTAAGCCCGTACAGAATCCAGAACAGCTACTGTCCCCATGGAAAGCTGTGGGAATCACACACTTTGAGCATGTCACAAAGTTACAAGCTTCCGGAAAGTGGGCTGGTTTGAGGTAAAGTTGGACAAAGAGAAATTCTAGGAGAGCCTTATCAATTTAATTCAGTTGTGAAAGGTGAGAACCCGGGTGACTCAAAGGGTCCTGGGCTGTATCTGGAGAAAATTAATGGCTTGTACCTAAGGGAGAGGACCCCCTCACCACCACCAAACACACTCAGCCCAGGAACTTCCATGGCCTTCCTGGAAAGAGGTCATAGAAGGGCAGCCGATAAGAGGTGTCGGGAAGCTCAGAGAGTACTGGGGAGCTCTAGGCTTGCACGTTAATCTGGAAAGTTCTTGTTAAAGTTTAGCCCACTGTCAAGGCTGAGTCCTTCTGACTCAGTGTCTTGGTTGAGACATTTATGGGCAGCTTCTGGGAACCCTGCCCAGCCTCAGCAGGGGACACGCTTCAGCTGCATTTCCTGCTACCTCTTCTAATGGCCAAAGATTACATTCCCACTTAGGCAATGGAGGCTTGTTTAGGGAACAGCCCAGTGAGACGTGTGGTTTCTCACATGCTATAAGCAGCCATGGGAAAGGCTATGGAAGACAGAAAAGCTGGACATCCCTGGTGGGTAATTCTCCATCTTCTCCACAGATGATATTCTCAAGCCCAGCTGCTGCCAGCCTAGCTTATTCTTGGTCCTAGGAGCCCATTCCCAATGGGCCTGTACCTGTGAAAACAGTCTCTAGTAAACATCTAAATTATTATCGAAATCTCACTCTAAAATCCAAAAGCCAGGTAAAGCCTAACTGCCCGTTTCACTGATGGAGAAATCCAGGCATTAAAAAAGCAAGTGATTTGTTGAGTTGGTGGGTACTTGGAGGAATGAAGTGAAGCATTAGGTTTTTCTAGTTTCTATGGGCTTCCAGGGGTGTACTCACACCGTGATAATCCTCAGCAGGTCCCCAGATGGCCTGCAATACACAGCACAGCTGGTGTTGAAAACATGGGAGGCCTAGCTGGGCCTAGAGCCGCAGCAGCTTGACTCCCTGCATAGTTCCCTCTGGGGGCATGACCGGCACAGCCCCTCTGGAAAGTCTTTGGTACTGAGCCTTTGTCTCAGAAGAGGAAGGTATAGCTCATCCCCTCTGAGTTTCCCACCTGCTGTGTGACTCCCGTCACCCTTACCTGGCCACAACTGACTGCATCCTCACGACTCTGTGGGAGCAGAATATGGGGAGGAGAAAGAATAAAAATAGGAAATATATAAAATGAAGTCATTTTAGCCAAGCTGCTAAAATTATTATGAAAGTTAAGGGATGAGAAATACTCCATTCTTATTCTAATAACCTGACAACTTAAATTTTTTGAACTTTCTAATCCTGCATCAATGCCTGGATATGCATGTGGGCCTCCAGGTGACCCTCTAATTATCCCCTGAAAGACCCACCTACACATCCACCTGACATCCATTTTCCGGACCTCCAGGACCTGATCTGGCCTCCTGGTCCCATCTTCGTGACCGCCTGGCATCTGTCATCCTGGGTGCCCGACATCTGACTGACACCATTCTGGACCAATCCTAGGGCTACGAGTGTAGGGCTGATACTTCTCAAGACTGCACTTATTACTATAAGCTATTGAACATTTTTTTCTTCTTTGGAACACTTCTGGGTTTTTGTCCAGCTGTGTTCCCAGTTTGAAAACTCCTAGACCCTTGAATAAATATCATTTATTCCTAGCAAGGCCTCCAGACTCTGAGTTCACTTGTCAGGGGTGTAGAAGAGGAGATGGCCCAATGCAGGGGCAGACGTGCTCTCGAGCACAGGTAGCCTCACTGTCCAAGAGACTTTGCAAGACAAACACAACTTCATCTCTTCAGCCCAGTGCAAGCCGGGGCACGGAAAGCCATTCCTTTATAAAATCACGGGCTGTGCCCTAAGGGTCCCTTTGATTTTGTGGAAAGCAACAGCCAAAGAGAAAACTGTGAACAGTAATAGGTGTCTTTCAGTTGTAGTCTGAGTCAAGGGGGCAGGTGCCCAATTCTCTTCCTTACCTTTCAGATCTCGGCAGACCCTGACCTCCCTCTCCCACAATTCAGAACTTGGCACTCGGCAGGCACTCAATAAACAATGTCTGCCTGCGCCACGTGAAAACAACCTGCTGGGGCAAGTAGGAGTCAATCCTGCGTCCCTCCCTCCCTTTTTTCCTCCTCTGCGACCTCTGGGGCTCTGGTTTCCTGCAAGCAGTGAATTATTCATGTCTGTTCATAGATATCAAATTGGCCTTTCCCAGGTTGCCAGCAGGGTGGGGCAGGGAGGTGGCTTTGTTTAGTCTGTAAATAGGAGGAGCAACCTCTTTGTTCTAACAGCCCTTGGGTGTGTGACTGTTTTTGCTAAGTCATCCTGAGGATGCTCAAAGCCCCACTGTGAGGTTCCTCCCGTCCATCCAGGCTCCTCCCCCCTCCCAACCCCTTTAATAGATCCTTAAGTGGGCCCACTCCACTCCGGCTCACCCTGCACTTTCACTATGGCGTTCATTGCCAAGTCCTTCTATGACCTTTCTGCTGTGAGCCTGGATGGGGAGAAGATAGATTTCAATACATTCCGAGGCCGGGCGGTGCTGATTGAGAACGTAGCATCGCTCTGAGGCACAACCACCCGGGACTTCACCCAGCTCAACGAGCTGCAATGCCGCTTTCCCAGGCGCCTGGTGGTCCTCGGCTTCCCTTCCAACCAATTTGGACATCAGGTGAGGAGGCCCTTGTATTGCATTCAAGGTGTTGGGTTGTCTGGTAGCCTAAGGGGAGGGGAAAAAGACTGTGTGTTGGAGTGCCTGGAATGGTGGGACATGTTTTGTTAATGTAGGTCTTTAGTACATGTGACTACCAAGGGGAAGTACATATGATTCTGTCTGTGATTAAAGACCAAGGGTGTGGATTTTTATTGTTTATTGTCTTCCCACTGTACTCTGTGAGGGCTGTTACCAGGTCCGTTTCTCTCCATTGTATCATCAGTGCCTAGGGTAGAGAAATACTCATCAAATATATGCTGAATAAATTAGAGGAAACAGCAGATCAAGAACCAAGTGAGGATTGAACTGGCTCAGACCTTACTAGGTAGCATTGGTTCTATTTAATGGCTCTGTGCCTAGGAAGAGCCACTCTATTTTTTCTGCTTTAGTTTCCTCATCTGTAAATTGGGGAAAATACCACTCATCTCATAGGATTATTGTGAGGATTATTGTGAGGCTCCAAGGATAAGATATACAAAAGTAACTTGGAAGACATAAAGTAATATGTAAATGCATGCAACTTTATTATTTATATTGAAGTCTTTGGTTTTTTTTGAAATCAGCCAAGTGGAGAGTGAACTTGGGGGGAAGCTAAGGGCGTGCAGTATGCACGTGTCTCCTCTGGTCATCACAGGCACCTCTTTGTCTCTGATTAATGGGTCAAGTTGTTGTAGAGCTTCAGCCCACACATGTCAAGCTATCTTTCAGAGATTCTCCTATTTTCACGCATTATTTTAACAGCACAAGTGGGCAGAATGTCCTCAACTGAACCCTCTCATTATAATCCCCGTAGTTCAATGCATAGTGGCATGAAGACACGGTAGAGACTAGCAGAGATATATGCAGGAAAGCTGAAGTGTCATTGGCTGTGACAAAGCTAAGCCTAAACCATTACTGCTCTGACTGTTCCTTCCTTGACTCTGTTTCTTTCTTTTTTGCCCCCTCACCTGAGGATATTTTTCCCCATTGCTTTTCAGGGAGAGAGAGAGAAACATTGATGTGAGAGAGACACACCCATTGGTTGCTTCCCGCAAGCTCCCCAGCCCAGGCTGGGGATCGAGCCTGCAACCGAAGTACATGCCCTTGGTAGGAATTGAACCCAGGACCCTTCAGTCCGCAGGCCAAAGCTCTATCCACTGAGCCAAACAGGCTAGGGCTCAGTCTGTTTCTAGGCTTGGGCAAAGCAGGAGAGATAGAAAGGGCAAAACCTCTTGAGAGGTGTCTCTCTGGCCCTAAACGTGCCTCCAGCCTCACACCATTACTTCAGGCTAACTAGTTGCTGGAGGGAGGCCATAACCACTGGCCATTTGCATTAGAGATAAGAAGTCAATAGAGACAAACTCTGGGCTCAAGATGTCACCTTGGCCTAGAACTGACTGTACTAATTGGTTCTAGTAGGTCAGGAGCAGGAACTTTCTCCCAGAGGGAGCTATCTGACTCTTAGACTTGGGGGGGGGAGGGGGTTGGAAAATAAGGGTTTTCATGGGCCTTTTGGGGATGTCACGGGTGGGGACAGAGTGGTAATGGCAGCGGGGAGGGAATGACAGGTAACAGGTTCAGGCTAAAGCATTCAGGCTAAAGCATACAGCTGAGGAGAGTGAGTGACTGTGAGGGACAGGAGTCTTGGGGTAGCAGTCTAGAAGTGAAAGGAACGATAATTACACATTCACAACCTTTAACCCTCAAGCACTTCATTTCCTTAGCTCCCCCTTTCCCTGGCCATTCCAGAACCCGAAACCGTCTATCCTATTTTTCATCCATTCCTGTCACTAAGTAATTACATTTAGAATAAATACATTCACGGACGTCTCTGACTCATCTTGCCTTTGCGGCACCTGAAAACTAGACTTCCTTTGATGGGGTCTTCCTTCATAATTTCTCCAACTTGTGCTTCAGATGTAGGACAAGGCAAGATGAAAGCAAGAAGCTGTAAACCCCATTCCCCCGGGGAACCATTTCACCCTTAGCTTGAGGAGCTGAGTAGGGCAGAGGCAAAGGCCTCAACACACATGTAATTAGAAGCGACAGAGGCAAAGCAGGGAGAGGGAAGGGCAAGGTGGTGGCAGGATGCGTGTGTAGGCATGTGTGGGCCGGTAAGTAGAAGGATGGTTCTGGGCAGTAGGACCCGAGCCTCCTTTCCCTTCCTACTGCCCTGAACTTAAGGTTCCTTGAAGATTCAGATACCCTAAGAACTGCTCAGGGTAGATTGGAGACAGAAGCAACCATTCAAAAATGCTAAATCTTTCAGCATGAGAACAGCCAAGCTAGGAACTGCAAAAACTTTCAGAAATGGCCAACCATAACATCAATAGCTGTGAGAAGGAAAACTCCAAATCAAGACTAGGGCAAAACAAATGAAGAAGGGAAATAAAGGAACAGAGAGAGAAAAATAAAATATAAAGGTACATAGAAAAGAATGATCCTGGGAAGGGAGTATAGGAGGTGAAAGCTTTGCATGTGGTGGACCCTTGGTTCCCCCCTTCCTTTTTCCATGCTCTTTGTCTTCTTCCTCCCCCAGGAGAACTGTCAGAATGAGGAGATCCTGAACAGTCTCAAGTATGTCCGCCCTGGGGGTGGGTTCCAGCCCACCTTTACCCTTACCCAGAAGTGTGAGGTGAATGGTCAGAACGAGCATCCTGTCTTCGCCTACCTGAAGGACAAGCTCCCCTACCCTTACGACGACCCGTTTTCTCTCATGACCGACCCCAAGCTCATCATCTGGAGCCCAGTGCGCCGCTCAGACGTGTCCTGGAACTTTGAGAAGTTCCTGATCGGGCCGGAGGGGGAGCCCTTCCGACGCTACAGCCGCACCTTCCCCACCGCCAACATCGAGCCGGACATCAAGCGCCTCCTCAAAGTTGCCATATAGACTCGGGCTGCTCCGCACACAGATCTCCTACTCCATACAGCCCGAGTGTCTTTCCTTAGGATTCAGTGTGTCCTAAGCTTTCCCTTGACATCAGTCTCCTTCACTGGAGCCTTGCCTCTCCTCCTGCCTGTTTCCTTTCTCTCTCCCAGCCTTCTGGTTGGCGATTCAACTTGGGCCTCCAAGACTTGGGTGGGCTCTGGGCCTTCACAGAATGATGGCACCTTCCTAAACCCCTACGGGCGGTGTCTGAGGCGTGTGAACAGCCCGAGCCAGCCTGCTAGCTGAGTCCAATAAAGGGCAGGCGTGGAAACGGCCAGTTCTCTGTGTCTTCTTTCTTGACGGGGTGGAGGGATGGTACACGCTGCAGGTGGGTCAGAGGAGCTGGCAGCACACAAAGGCTCGGGAGAGGGAGGCTCTGGTCAAGGGGACACCCTAATTACTGTCCGGAAAGCAGGCCCTGCTCAAGGTCTTCCGACGGGGGTGGAGTTGCAGGAAAGTAAATGGTTATTATTTTATGGCTTTTCTTCAGAATGTGGAAAGGAGGCAATAATGAGGACTAAAGAGGAAAAGACAAAGGGCCCTTTGGTCGAGGGTACTAGGAGGTTAGTGAGAGGATTCCGGTCAGAAAAACGTCACCATCGCTGGGTACTGGGCCAAGTAAATATTATCTACTCCTTGGTAATTTCCTGGGAAGTCAATTTCCTGGGAACCCTGATGCAAGGGCGGGGAGGGTGAAGTTACTGGTATACAAAGGGGCACTTCATCTGCTTCCCGATCACTTTGCTGAGCTAGACGGACTCTCCTTTCTTTACAACGTTCACATTGCACCCTTGTCTTTCTCAGACTCGTATATTCACAGATTCAGGAACAGGACAAACAAGTTTAGGCGTGAACAATTGGTTTCATTTCTTCTTCCACGAGGGTGGGGACGGGCGAGGGCCTCCCTTCACAGCCTGCTGACCTGCCCAAGTGACAGCTGTTCCCTGCGACAACGGAGTTCTGCCGAATGTCTCTGTGATGATGGTGCCCCAAATTCCTCATCTAGTCCAGGCATGCTCAACAAACACTGCCACCACCAAGGCCAGGTCCTATCACGTTCTGGGAAAGACACCCGCTGAAAGGCCACTGCCCTGTCACCCTGCCCCACAAACCTCCTCCTGGAAACTTCTCATTTCACCTTCCCTTCTTTGACCACTAGATGGAATGTTTCACTTCTCTTTATTGAAGCCCTGAAGGGCAGCTCTCCAATCTGAACACACTGCTTGAGAGCCCCGATGCTGAGAGGGAAATGCTTTTCCTATGATGTTTCCATAACTATTTTCTAAGCACTTGCATTACCCGAGAAGCAGATGTGGAACAGAGGTTAAGGATCCGCCTTGTCTGACCTTCACTGACCGTGCTTTATTTCAAAAGGGTAACCTGAGCATTATCATGGGAATCCCCTGGCACTCTGCTGCAGGGCCTTCTGCTAAATTAAGGTTGCCCATGACCCTTGAAAACTCAAGCCTTTCAAGATTCCTGCTCTGAAAGCCAACACTGGGGGATAGACTGAGGGGCAGGACCAAGCACTGATTTTAGAGCAATAACCGCAGAGACAAATTGCTTCCCTGAAGAAATGAAATACAGAATTCATACTGGATGCTAAAATGATTTGTTCATCTTGATAGCACTATAGCCTGTAGTTACATCCAATAATAGAGTCAGCTCTCCTGAATTTTGGCATTATGCCACAGGCAATTTAGGACCTGATATGCCAGTACAATGTGTTGGGTCTTTCCCATGAGGCTCAAGTTGAAAGAATTTAGAGCTCCCAAAGGAATGGGGATTATAAGTGATTTTGCAGAGAGAGTCAGAAACGACCCTAATGCTAGGAAGAGGACTCCTTTGCACAGGGCAAATGCTATTTGCTTCAGAAGGGACCTGACCACTTTGGCTCAGGAACAGGGAAGGCAGGACTGGAGGAACTTGTTTTTACAAGGACACTTTGTTTCACTAAATCTTTAGTTGTGCTGTTGTTAAAATGAAGAGAAATGAGAAAATGTTTCCTTTCCTTAACTCCTCATCTTGTTTGTCACCCTTCACATCCTCAGAAGTATCAGCTCATGGTCATAAACAAAGCAAAGCTTAATATAATCACTCATTTTCCTAGATCAACAAAATCTCTTAATCAAATTTCCCTAGGGCCACTCAGGAAGCAGGGAGAAGTCTCATAAACAAGCTTTCCCCAAGTGCTGAGGTAATGCTACTTGATTTAGAGGAGGGGCAGAGACGATCGTTTCTCTGAGGGCTCTCACAAAAATATAGCTTGGAATAAGTGATTTTAGAGGGCCAAGATACAGACTAAAACTGATGATTATTTCCATGACTATGTTCCCACAGCTATTTTGTCCTTAGTTTAAGAAAGTTAAACAAACTCTAATTGGTGATTTCACATCTGATGATTTCTTACAATCACCATCACAACCATCGTCCAAGCTATCCTTTAGTATATACATATATTATACTAAGTACTTTAAATAAATACGTTAGGCTTGTTAATCCTCATACTGACCCTGTAAGCAAATTTAATCTCTATTTAAAAGAAGGTAATTAATAGTGTCGACAATAAAAGTGAAGTAAAAATAGTAAATAAATAAATAATAGAAGGTAACTGAGTAAGACATCTGCCAGAGACAAAGGGCTATAGAATAGCAGAGTTGAAAGTTAAACCCAGGTCAGCCTGACCCAAAGCCCCTACTCTTACCCATGACAACAGTGCTTCCTTCTATCTCAGTTTCTTCACTAGGACCACTGACAGCTGCCTACACACTATACTGTACAACCTAAAAACCTTTCACTTACATCATTTGATTTAAAAACTCCATGGAGGCATGATTATTTCTATTTTTCCATTGAAGAAACCGAGGTACAGAGAGAGTAAGTGACTTGTCTAATCTCCCACCATGAGCAGGTGGCAAAGCTAATTCTAGACCCAGGTTTTTTGATTTCCTTTCTCCCCAACCATGGTGTGTCTCACAATAGAGACTTGTACTAGTCAAGAAATATACATTTGAAAACTGACAGCCTCAAATTGTCAAGTCACTTAACCTTGCTCAGAAAAGAATGGAACCGAAAGGATTCTTGATACACTGAAGTAAAGAACAGTGAACATATACTTTTTAGTGATAACTTACAAGTAACTAACCGTATCTGGACTATACCATATGCCAACTAATAAGTATTGGGAGAACCCAGAACAATTTGAGAAAGACACTGCTAGCTATAACAACACAACAAACATGCTGAGCTTTGAACTCCAAGATCCAAATGAGGCAGAGCCCTAGATCTGTACCTCGCGGAGCAAATAAAGAATGAATGAGGTGTCAGGGCAAGCCCATGTCCCCAGTTACACCTATAGTTAAAGTCTTGTCCTTCTATCTCAGGGCAAGAAGGTAAAAAAGACTGATGCTTTTTGCCTGGTTGTTCTTTTTTAAAAAAATATCTATTGATTTCAGAGAGAGGAAAGGAGAGGGAGAGAGAGAGATAGAAACATCAATGATGAGAGAGTCATTGATCGGCTGCCTCCTGCACACCCCCAACTGGGGATCGAGCCTGCAACCCGGGCATGTGCCCTGCCTGGGAATCGAACCCCGATCGCTTGGATCCTAGGTCGACGCTCAAACGCTGAGCCACGCCCAGCCGCGCCTGGTTCTTCTTTATTTAAACAGAAAAACAGACTCAGTAGAACTGGGTTCAAAAGGTCTTTAATTCTTTTAGATCCAGAGAAAACTTCTAGAAGATGAAAAAGAAAATATCACAAAACATAGCACAATGTTGATAAAATAATAATAAAATATATGGATAGGATCACGTGTTTTGAATTTTTATAGTATATGTAGTCTATGATAGATAATAATTACACATTCTGCAAAAGACAAAGATATCAGCGGGGCATCTGAAACTGTACTCTTGAGCTCCAAAAGACTAAGTTGGAAGCATTCAAACTCCAAGAAGGGACAATTCAGAGGCTATAACGGGCTTAGTGCTGCTATTTAAAGTAATGAAGCATTTTCTCTACTTTCTGGATTCATTTCACCAAATGATTTCCTCAGCAGGTCAGATATAGATTTGCAGTAAGTGGAAAACATTTTCCAGGAATAAAACAACCGATTCCTAAGAAGCAGCTGACTTAAGTTTTCTAAGTAATAAATCTTGGTCTGACATGCCTAGGTTTCTCAGAGTGCGGTCCCTGACATTCTCAGCCTCCTCCTGACCTTGCCAGGCCCTATACTTCACCAGAACTGAACACTCCCACTGAGAGGGAGTCACCGTACTAGCTGTGTGACCCTGAGTAAGCTACTTCTTGTGCTTTAGTGTCTTTGGCTCTAAAATCGGAATAATAATAGTACCTACCTCGTGGAGTTGTGAATGAGGATTAGATAAGTGCTTAAAAAGGCCGCCACACAAAGTCAGTCCTCAGTAAACTTCAGCTATTGTTATCCTTGTCATACAACAAAGCTTTTCCCTGGTATCACGAACACTTTGCTCACTATTTTCTTATAAGCAAGGCCTCAGTTCAGAATACCCAAGTCTCTCAGGTCTGAAGAGGAAACAGTTTTGTTTCTAATGCCTGCCCCTTTTAAATGTGGTCTTACGAGAACTAACTAGCCATTTCGTTGTATCTAGTATTTTCTGTGCCTTCCAAAGCATCTTACATTCATTACTCACTTGGATCTCACAACAATACTATAAAGGAAGTATAGTATCAACTTTTACTAGTCCAAATTTTTAAAAGGAGACAATAAAGTCCATAGTAATGCTTTCCTTAATGGTTAGAGTGCTACCAAACGGTAGAGAGGCCTAAATGCCAGGGTTGATGACACCCAATCCAGTGTTCTTTCAACTATGTAAGGTAAGACAGTCTAAGATCCCTTTAGAACAATTCAAATCATTCTATTTATTTATATTAACTAAAGTTCACACTCTCTTCAGATTTCCCATTTTCACCAAATGTCACTTTTCTGGTGCAAGATCCCATTCAGGACACATTACATTTAGTAAGCGTGTCTCCTGAGGTTCTTTCTGGCTGTGAGTTTCTCTGACTTCCTTGTCTTTGATGACCTGACAGTTCTGAGGAGCACTGGTCAGGTATTTTGTAGAATGTCCCTTAACTGGGATTTGTCTGTTTTTCTCATCAGACTGGAGTTATGTTTTTTGGGGAAGAGTACTACAAAGGTGCAGTGCCATTCTCATCACATCATATCAAGGACACATGCTGTCATATGGCTTATCACCAGTGATATTAACCTCGATCCTGGCTAGTGTCTGTCCCCCCTTTCTATACTATATCCTGGAAGGAAGCCACCACACACACACTTAAGGAGTGGGGAGTATCTACATACATAATTTGAAAAACTTCTGCATGGGAGATTTGCCTATTGTAGTTTATGTACTTATTTATTCAGTCATTTATTTATATCAGTATGGACTCATGAATATTTATTTTATAGTCTGGGCTATAATCCAATGCTACTTAATTTTTTATTCGAATTGTTCCAGCTTTGCTCACTGGGAGCTCCTTCCATTGGCTCTTCTGTCCTTCTGACATCCCTAACTATTGTGATTTTTTTCTGAGCACTTTCTTTTTTTGTGGCACAAGAAGCTCCAAGCTCATATTTACAGCCCTAGTCCTGTATACTTATAGCCCCAGTCGTGGAATAAGTCATTTATCCAAGGAGCCCTGGTTCCTTTTACTGGAGCCAAGATCTGGGCATTAGGTGCTCCCCCAAATTACTTTTTTCTTTCAAAGAATAGGTAAGTTTAAGCAGAAAAAAATAAGTAATTTCCATTATAAACTAAGTAAGACAAACCATCAGGCTTGCAGTATTGTAAACCAACATAGCCTAGTTCCAACAGAGCCGCAGAAGGATCCTTAGAATAAGAGAGTCATTTGTCGGGGGTCATCTGGGAGAATACTGATGGTATCTTCGGCTTTGCCACATAACAAACACAGCATGGTGTACTCCTAGAACAAGATAAAGCTAATTACCTTGAGGGACAGGGAGAAAGATGCTTCCAATTTACTCAGGTAAGTTTTTCTCCACATCGTCGTGGATATTCTTTCTGTATGTCTCAAGTTCAACACCTATAAGCAATACCTTAGGTTTATTCTGTTTATATAAACTGAGTACATGCTGATGCCCTATTTACTATGTATATAAGGATGTCATCTTGGAAATGCATGACCATTTCTTGGACTTAAAAAACACACTCACTGGGCTTAGTGCTGCTATTTGAAGTAATAAAGCAATTTGAGTGTGGGCCCCTAAGGACAAACTCCTGATCTTAGAGTTGTTTCTTTTTAGGATATTTAGCACTAATATGCAAAAGAAATGATTTTTAAAACAACAAAGGGAGAAAATTCCTAAACCCAAAATGCTATTTATACCTACTCTAAGAAAATTAAAAATTACATTAAATCCACTAATGTGTCAAGCATGCCTCATATTTAATAGTCAGTTGTCTGGAATTTGATCTATTTAAGGAGTTTTATGTTTCTTGGGTTTAACAAATGTTCAGACTGGTGACAAAAGGGATTTTGTTTTAGGTAAAAATCTTCAGGGCAAAGTCCTTTTCTTATAGAGGTCTCTTTCTAGAATATTTAATATGGTCATAAGCTATAGAAGCATTTCTTTTAAACCGTTTGCTTAAAAACCTTTTATCTTCTTTAGGAAAACAAACATCTATGTTAAGTCTATATGTATTTCTGCACCTGACACTGAGATTGCTAGCCGTCTGGAAATTGATCAGTCAAAGCAGTCTGGGTGTAGACAGTACTACAGAGAGGGTCACAGAGATAAACAAGGACTACAGTACAGACTCAGAACTAGGCAAGTGCCTTTCCATTTCCTTCTAGTGACTTTAGCAGGGGAGCTTAGTCGTGGCAGTGGAAAGACTGTTTCTTTTTTTAAAAATAAATGTTTTTATTGATTTCAGGGAGAGGAAAGGAGAGGGAAAGAGACAGAAACATCAATGATGAGAATCATTGATCGGCTGCCTCCTGCATACTCCCTACTGGGGATCAAGCCCACAATCCAGGCATGCGCCCTGATGGGGAATCAAACAGTGACGTCCAGGTTCCTGGGTCAATGTTCAACCACTGAGCCACACCGGCTGGGTGAAAGGTTGTTTCACAAAGACCACATTTAATTTTACTGATTTTTAAATTTTTTTTTAAATATATCTTTATTGATTTCAGAGAGAGGAAAGGAGAGGGAGAGAGAGAGATAGAAACATCAATGATGAGAGAGTCATTGATCAGCTGCCTCCTGCACGCCTCTGACTGGGGATTGAGCCCGCAACCCGGGCATGTGCCCTGACCGGGAACTGAACCCTGATCGACCGGATCCTAGGTCGATGCTCAACCGCTGAGCCACACTCGGCTGGGCAACACATTTAATCTTAAAGTCTACTCTACGCGCAGTAAAAATAGAGGCTAGATCTCAGCAAACAAATGCAAGTCTCATGAATTAGAAATAAAATAAAAATCCACTCTCTCCAAGGTCTTTTACTGCTCTCAAATACTTATGTTTTCACCTACCAGACATTACTACTAGGATGTCAACCTCTCACCAGAAATGAAGAAGAAAAAAGTAGTAAAATCAAAATAGGAAAATGTGTGAAGCTAGACAAATATCTGAGTTTTCAACCAATCTATCCATTGACAAGTTTTTGTTAATTGCCTAAATACTCTGCAGTGTGCTAGGTACACTGGCAGACATGAGAGAAGGCAAGGACAAGGGCTGACCTTGTAGAATTTACAACCTAACTTGGGAGAAAAAAAAAACCACCTAACATAATCTGGAAAGATTATTAAATAAAAAAGACTGATTATACCTGAAATCTTTAATTTAGAGGCAGTCTGTATTCCAAATTTCCTTGTAGGTCAACTGTTAGGAATTCAAAAGCAATTTCCCACAGAAGAAGTTGTACCCGACAGTTAGGTTCCCAGGAAATCCAGGGAGCCTTTTAAATTTATATTATACAAGCACTATAGAATCTAACCATATATAGCAGCGTTTCTGTGGGAAAATATGTCTAGAATTGTACCTCAAATGCCAGAAATATATCTCTGTGTGCTGCCAGGAATGTGGTGGGATTAGGAAACCTTTTACCCAAAGTAGCCAACTTGGGAGAATAAGAATTCCCTCCATTCACTCATGGAGACCCTCAGTGACTCCATCAGGGCAAAGCCTAAGGTCAAAGATTTGGAAGAAAGGGTGCAGTGGATGGACTCACCTTTGGGTAAGACCAGATCCTTTGGTTTACTCTGAGAGTCCCTGGCCCTTTTTCTCTGTCACTATCTGTTAATTTTGACCCCAAGTCCTCTCCTTCTCTGGTAAGCTATGGAAAGACCAATGAGGTAGTCTGAACACATCATTTTAAGAAAAATAATCTGATGGCAGAATTTAACATATGACAGGGGGGAAGTGGATACTAGGAGAGAGAACACTGGAGTAGAGTGTCCAGATTAAGAGATTTTTTTCCATGAGAATTTCACGCTATCTGGGCATTGTGACTACAAACCACTTTCCTTTACCTTCTTCTTCCTATCAGAATACTTTCCAGGACAGCTTTGAAAATGGTTGTATTCAGTCATAAAGAAAATCAGCTAGACTTTGGTCTCATGGCAGTAACATACAATGGATCAATTAGGGCATGAACAAGCAATCTCACTATCCATTTAGGGACTCTAAAAAGCTCACAGGACCCTTCAGGAGCTTCTGGAAAACAGTTACAAGCATTCCTTTCCTTCCATGAAAGGACAGAACTGCTCCTGTAAGCCCTTAATATGGTCATTCTTGTTTGGTCACTACTCCTTCACTGAGATCTCGATTTTGGCCTAGTTTACATATATCATATAAATGTTTTGTGAGGCATAATTTTTGGATGCTGAGGAGATGTGGTCAAGATGTCATTTAGATTAAGCATATTAGTCCAGGTTATGACAAGTGATTAAGCACTTTCTGCCACACTATAATAAGAATGAGAGTGGCTATACTATTTTATAAGATTCTGTTATGAAAACTTTTATTTTTCCTAATTATAGTACTATACAAACCTAAAGGATTTTTAAAAAGTCCTTTGCCTGTTAAAAGCTCTAACCTAATATTTATATCCTAAGGATGAACATTTAGTTTGTACTAAATAACTCAAGCTGAAGGCTTGAAAATGGAGGCAGTGAGGGACAGATGCAGGCTGCATTGTGTCCTTCTAGTTAATGTGTGTCTGTCTGTCCTTGGCTCTCCCACACCATCCAGCTTTTCTTCCTGTCCATTAGACCTACTTCAGGCCTACACCAGCATACGGAATTCTGTTGTATTCTTCACATGCTCTCACAATTGTCTAAGGACTAATCCTTATAATAAATCCCTATTCTCTATTCTTATAATGGTTCAGCTTCTCTCCTCCAACCTTGATACATCCATTTTGTTATTTTACTTAACAAATAGTATTAAAATGTCTTACTGCATTCTGAACGGTGTGGCTCAGTTGGTTAGGGCATTGTCCTGTGTGCCAAAGGGTCAAGGGTTCAATTCTCAGTCAGGGAACATGCTCAGGTTTCGAGTTCGATCCCCGCTCTGGGGGTATGCGGGAGGGAACTGACATCTCTCTCTCACATCAATGTTTCTATCTCTTTCTCTCTCCCTCTCTCTTTCCCTCTCCCTTTCTTTCTTTCTGGATTCAATGAAAAACATATCCTTGGGTGAGGATTTTTAAAAAATTAAAAAATAAATAAAAATAAATACATAAATGTTTTACTGCAATTGAGGCTACAGAATTGCTCAACTCTACATGCCTATTAGTGAAAACAAAAGATAACCTTCTTATCACAATTTCCATACCCAGCAAGTATGATGGCAGTGGGCGGGTGAACATTTAGCCAACAATGGTATAATCACGACTAGGTAGAGCAAAAAGAGGCACAATAGTAACTTCATGAGAAACTATAATGTGCTGTTCTTCATAAACAAAAATGACAGGACTGAGAAATCATTTGTAAGGCACACACTCTGATTTCTGATTTTTGTGAAGACAGGTTTGAGCAGATCCATCCACATCTAAAGTTTCTCTCTCACCTTCCACAGGTAGAAGAGAGGGATGGTCTCCTTTAATATTTGCTAGTGCTTCACTTATGAAAACTATATCTAGATTTTCAAGGGTACTTTTATTATCCCCCGCCACCAATAACATACCCACGTTTATACATTTACCTGAAATTCATCCATGATACTGAATGTATATTCATGCCTGGCTACTACGTGATGACAATTCTTACACAGATCTGCTGAAACAAAGAGGGACGTAAATAATTAAGTAATGGAAGGTGTCTCAAGACAGTAAAAATTTCTATTCTCAGCAATGGCATTGCTTTAAAAGACTCTTCACTACCATATTTAACACAGCAGGAAATCCATTATAACATCTACCTTGATAAGAAATCCAGAATCCGTGACATAGCAACACTATATAATTAAGGGCCTAAACTCAGAAACTCAATGTGCATGTATTAATTCCCATCGAACACTCTCTAAGGTAATCAATCAACTAACAGATATGTAAGGGTGTTTTTTAAACTAGCTAGACCTATCAAACTATGTAAAAGCTTCTAGTCTCAAGAATGACAGAAACTGTGCTACTACAACCAGTCATAAGTAAACAACCAACGCTAGACACTAAAGTGAAGTTAATGGTGACAAAAGACTCTAGAAAAAACAATATGATAATAATAACTCTGATGTACTGAGTGTTCACAGTGTGCCAGATACTGTTTTAAATACTTCTTACCTGTTTATTCACTTAATCTTCTCAAACTCAAAGAAGGAGAAACAGTTTTTAGGGATAAGGAAACAAACTCGCACTGTGGTTATGTAATTAGGAAGGCTAGTTAAGTGGACCCAGAACTCAAACCCAAGCATTCTGGCTCCAGAACCCTTGCTCTTAACCACTGTGACTTACTACCTGGAACAAAATTGAGGTCAAAGGGTTATATCTAAAAGAAAGACAAAGATTCTTCTAATTTAGAATATTTTTTGATTGTCTGTTCTAGAGGCTTAGTGTTTTTCATACCCCTCTTGCAAAATATCATTATTTGTGTATTTACTCCTTATATATTCAGAACATATCAAAGAACCAGGAGACGAGCCCAAAGGAGATGTGAACAGTTGAACTACCTGTCACGATATTTGGGCACTAAAGTGTACATATACTTAATTTACTCATAGAACTTCATAGTGCCAATCTCTGAATTTATTTATTTTTATTATAGTTTATTTGTTTGGTTTCCCAGTATTGAGGAGCAGCAGCAGTATATAAAGGTAGCATATTTACAGCAGCAAAAGAAACACCAGATTGACAGTGAGATAGGAGACAGAAAAAGCTATGAAGCAGAAACAAGACTAAAAACCCACAGCACTCAGGGACATTTAAAATAGGGGCAAACATAGCTTCTCAGCCTTTTGGCTAAAATAAAGTGTAAAATAGGGGCAAAGAGCCCTAAACACTTTAATAGCTCTGGGAGGACATCACTGTATTATACTAGAGTAGAAAATGAAAACTCACATGGATGACCCTAAGGTTAAAAAAAAAGTCTCTATATCTTGTTTCAGAAGGCATAAAGGCTTTAAAAATAAACAAAACCAAAAAATGGTGCCTGAATCATAAGCTTCAGTTACCTCCAAAAGTCTTGTAAGTAGAATATCTGATGCTAAAGAAATGAGGCGTTATTTATAATTTCTCTTCAACACCTAAATAACTAGTAACTATGTGTTGCAATACGATATTAAAACAGGCCTCATCATACTTTGCACAGCATATCAACTTCCAAAAGTCAATACCTGCTGACAACTTCCATGAAAAGAAAAGGTCTACTTACGATCATAGGTAACTATTTCTTCTCCATCTTCCTCTTTCAAAGATTTGTTTGTGATCAGCATAAAGTCCCGCTTACCACACACTGCACAGCCGGTAAAGTTCAGCAAGAAAGATCCATTCTCTAGGCAGATGTTACCCTAAAATATTAAAAATAGTAATTTAATTTTCTTATATTTCAAAATCCTTGGTGAAAATGATTAATAGACTTAAAATCTCTAAGGCAAAAAAACATGCCAAAGTTTACTTGCTTGAAGGGAACACCAATTAATTTTTGAAATTATTACTTTCCTCTAGATGTGCTATTCATGGTAAATAAAACTGAAGCTATGTTAGAGCTGTAAGTCTCTAAATGCAAATAGATATTTAGAAACAATTTAATGAAGCTTTAATAATATAAAATATGAAAAGGAAAAATTTAAAAAAACTAAGAGCCAACATTAGATGAGGTGTCATATCATAAAGCTAGAATTAAAATTCAATCAAAATGGAAATACTGAGCCAATGATAAAAATGATCTTATACACTGCCATGCTCAATTGATTGCTGAAATAGCATTTTCTGAAGTGTTAAAAATACCATAAAATAAACAAACAAAATAGACTCTCAGCTCCATAGATGTTAGTCCTTAAGGATACGTGTGATTTAGGCAGAGGAGATAAACTCTGTAATTCATCAGACTGACACCATGGCATTCAAAGAGAAAAGGTTTTGCTTTATCATTAAAAAACTAAACAACTTATGCTCTTGGCTCAAGGGAGGTCTTTGCTAAGCATACTGATTGTTCACAACTAAAAGTCATTTCATAAATAGTCTACTTCGATCTCATTTCTGACCAACAAATTTAGAGTATTTTTAATAGTTAATGTGACTAAAAACCATTCAAACCAACATTTCTCCAATGTAGCTATGTGCCTGATACTGTGCAAAACACAGTGTTGAATTTGAGGATGAGTCACATGTTTTCTGCCTTCAAAGAACTTATGAAGCATCAGGGGAATTAAGGCCCAGCTGAAGTGATGTCACAGTGAAGCTTTCCTGGATTCCCTGCACAATGAACCTCTCCCTTCTGAGTGGCTCCTCAGTGCCAAGTATTAAGGAAGAGATTAACTCTGATGGGGAGAAATCAAACTAACTATATAGTTTGAAGATACTAAATCATAGGCACACGGACTTAACTACTAAAGGGGGGGGAAAGTCTTGGAGTGAAAGTATAAATTCCCAGCTATTAAGAACAAATGCTTTGCTTTGATTTAAAAACCAACAACAAACTCTACTGAGATGTAACTTACATACAATAAAATCCACATATTGTAAGGGTATCGGTAAATTACATTTAATAAACATATACGCCAATGTAAACACTACCCCAAAATTTCTATCTTCCCAGGAAGTTCCTTCAGGCTTTGCAGTCTATCTCCAACCCCTCTCTTACCCTCAGGCACCCACGGATCTGATTTCTATTTCTAGACACTAGTTTTGCCTGCCCTAAAATTTTATATAAACAGAATCATGCAGTATACTCATTTGCATTCAGCTCCTTTTACTCAACATAATGTCTATGTTAATCACTTCTGTTGTTATATGGATTGGTAATTTTTTGCTTTTTATTGCCAAGTAGTATACCATTGCACAGATTTATCTGCTGATAGACATGTAGGTTCTTTTCAGGTTTCAACTATTATGAATAAAGCAGCAATGAAGATTCATGTATAAGTCTTGTGTAGACATACACCTTTCTCTTGGGTAAATTACTAGAAGTGGACTTGCTGAGTCACACAGTAAAAACATGATATATAAACATATAAACATTATAAGAAACTGCCACATGGTTTTCCATTTTCTGTTGCCACCAGCAGCATGTGAGTTCCAGTAGCTTCACATTCTCACCATACTAGGTATTATAAGGCTTTGTTTTTTGTTGTTTTTTTAAAACGTATTTTTATTGATTTCATAGAGAGAAAAAGAGAGAGAGAAACATCAATGATGAGAGAGAGTCATTGATTGAGCCCGCAACCTGGGCATGTGCCCTGACTGGGAATCGAACCCTGATCGCCTGGATCCTAGGTTGACCCTCAACCGCTGAGCCACGCCCAGCCGGGCATTTCTGTTCTTTTAATATATCTTTATTGATTTCAGAGAGAGGAAGGGAGAGGGAGACGGAAACATCAATGATGTGTCATTGACTGCCTGCCTTCAGCACGCCCCCTGCTGGGGATCCAGCCCAAAACCCGGGCATGTGCCCTGACCTGAATCCAACTGTGATCTTGTGGATCCTAGGTTGATGCTCAACTGCTGAGCCACACCGGCAGGGCAAGTTTTTTTAAATTTAATTTTAGCCATTCTAATGATGTAAAATGGTACATCATTGTAGCTTCAATTTGCATTTCCCTGGTGAATAATGATGAGCATCTTTTCATGGTGCCTATTCACATTTCTTCCTTTGTGAAGTATATATTCAAGTCTTTGTGCTCATTTTTAAAAGTTAGGTTGTTTATCTCCTTATTGAGTTATAAGAGTAATTACTGACCTATAACAGTTATTTATATCTCTGATACAAATCCTTTGTCAGACACATGTATTATAAATATTTTCTCCTTGTCATTGGTTTGCCATTTTTATGGTGTCTTCTAAAGAGCACGTTTGATTTTTATGAAGTCCAATTTATCAAATTCTTTCTTTCCTTGTTTTTGTGCTTGTCTTCTAAGACATCTTTGTCTACCTCAAGATTGCAAAGATTTTCTCATATGTTTTCTTCTAGAAATTTTATAGTTTTAGCTTGCTGGTTTAGGCTTATGATCTATATTGAAATAATTTTGAAATATGAAACAATAATCAAGTTTCATTTATTTCCATATGACTACTTAGTTGTTCCAGCAACATTTATTTAAAAGACTACCCTTTCCACATTGAATAGCATTGGTACCTTTTCGGAAAACTCAAATGACCATATACACAGGGTGTCCCAAAAACATGTATACACACCTCAACAGCTGACAGCTCAAGTTTGAAAATGAACTGTATTTTTAATAAGCACTGTCTTTATAATTACTCAAAGTGTGTGTATACATTTTTGGGGGCACCCTATATATGGGTCTACTTTTGACTATTTTGTTCCCTTGATTTATATGTCTATCTTTGCACTAATATCACACTCTCTTGATGACTATAGCTTTATGGTAAATCTTTAAAACACATATCCTGATTGGGTTTGAATCAGGACTGCTTTTAATCTATAAAAACTGACTGCCAAGGACTCTAAGACACTAAGGAATGAGAAACAGTCTTAAGAGAATAAAGCCCTAAATACCAGTTTCAAGTAAACAGAACGCTGAACAGGAATGCACCCATAAACACAGGCACCTTATTATATACAATGTGGTCTAACTTCTGTAATCTGACCTAGTAAGTATGCAAAACGTAAACTCTAAGGAAACATTGCTTAAATTCAAGTTCTTGGTGTAACATTACAAGCAAGCAGGCCAGAACTCTGTTAGAAATTCATTACTGTGTATCTCTAGTCTATGAAAAACACCTACCACAGAACTCCAGAAAATTTATGAAAACAAAGATAGATATTACCTACTTATTCTATACTTAGAACTTCTCAACATGCTAATCCATTATTTTCCTCTGCCAAATTTTTTGAAATGAGTGGACTACACTTAATATCACCATCTTATTGCTCTTTCCTTTGCTAAGCTCAAGCAAAGTGGCTCTGCTCTTACTGCCCTTAAAAATACCTCAGGACTCAATAAAATCTAGAGGAAGGGTCCTTAAGATTTCAAATGGTCACTTAGTCTCTACCAAACAACAGGAAGAAAGTTCAATTCTTCTAAGGATTACCTATTCAACTTTTGAAAATCTGTTAAAGTTCTTTATTCTGATTCAAAGCCTGCAATCCTATAACACCCACCCACTAATTATTTCTAAATCTGCCTCCTGAAATTCCACAGAAAAGTTTAATTCTTCCTCATGACAGTCCTTTAATTATTTTAGCGCATGAGAGAAAAGTGCTTATGAAAGGCACTTTCCTGATTTTCCAATCACCTCAATCTTTTTTCCCGCTCTTCTCCCTATACTGTATACTATTTTCACTCCCTAAATTAATTTATTCCTGGAATCTCAGTCTTTGATTCTACTTTATTGTCTACGTTCTTTTCCTAAGAGAATAAATCTTTTCTATTTGACACCGTTATTTGTCTGACTCCTATGTCTGCATCTTGCACTCAAACTGCAATCTTATATTTTCAGTAGACTGCTTGGATTTCTTCAACCTTGAATGAAAAATGATAAAAACAATCTGACCATCTGATCTTGATGATGATAATTCCAATTTTCGCAGTTGCCTAGATTGAAAACCCTGAGATCATCTGTAGTTCTTTCCTTCTTCCTCCTACTTTAAATAAGTTGAGTCCTGTTAATCCTTTCTTTGAAATGACGTCTTCATTATCTCATGCCTACGCTCCTGTTGTCATGGCTCTCCAAATGCTCTGGGGGACTCTCCTGAAATTCCACAGGAATTTCCCCCCTCCCATCATTTCAATATATAGCCATAGATTCCTTTTCCTAAGTAACAGACTTCAAAAGAATTCCCTATTCAATTTTGTTTGATGGTTGCCCAATGGCTAAAGTATGAAATCTAAAGTTCTCAATATATAATTTTTGAGTCTTTTGATTAGCTCAACTCTTAAGAATCCAACCTAATCTCTTTAATATATCTCCCTCATGGTCCCAGCAAGGTGCCATGTTGATTACTGGATTCATAAAAGTCTCTTTTTAAGCTTTAAAAAATGTATGAAATAGAACTCAGTACAGAAAAGCATGTGAAACGTAAATGTTCAGCATAACGCCTCTGCCTACTAGGTGTCAGTAGTACTCCCAGATGTGACAACCAAAAATGTCTCCAGATGTTGCCAAATGTCCCACGGGAGGCAAAACTGCTCCTACTTCAGAACCACTGCTCCCATTCATTCACTGTCATTACTCACTCGTTCATGGTGTTCCATTCTATGACTGTATCACTCTTTTTCAGCCTATTAGTACAAACAATGCTGTTACAAACTTTCTTATACAAGTCTCCAGGAACCCATCTGCACATGCATTTATTTCTCTAGAATGGGAACTGCTGGGTTACTCAGTATGCACATCTCCAACTTTATTTGATAATGCTAAACCTCTTTTCAAAGAGGTTGTCCCATATGCGTTTTCATGTTGTTATATATCCTTCCCTGAAGACTAAGTATCACTCAAAATATTAAGAGACGGAAGACACGATAGGGATTTTCTACCTCCCACTCCATATAAGAATCCTTGTTCTTGCTATTATTTCCCCCCAGCCTCCATCTCCTTTCCTTCTTTTCTACCCTCCTCGCTACTGACTTTCAGGTCCCAACTTCAGTCCTTTCTTTTGGGAGAACAGCGGTATCCCCTGTGGCTCTCAACTTGAACAGCACTCAAGGACTGGACTGCTCCTTTCTTGTTAATCACATACTCCCCCAAAATGTAAGCTCTTGGGCAGCAATGAAGCTGCCTCTTACCTCTTCCTAGGTACCCCTCTGTAATCCAGCCACGCACATATACATGTGCAATAAGTATACCTCGAGTGTCGAATGAGAGTAAACAAGTTTGCAACCTCCTGAGCTTGAGAGAACAGAGATCTAAAAGAAAGCACAACAGCCAGGAAACCTAAATTCTGGTCTCGGCCCTCATATTAACAACAGTGTGAACCTGGGCAACTGAGTTCCCCTTTCTGGACGTTAGTTTCTTCATCTGCAAAACCGGGTCGCAACGGATGACCTCAGAGGTCCCCTCCAGCTCTACAATTCAGTAAGAAAAATTGAACTTCATCAAATCAAGCTTGAGGAGGCGACCAGGGGCAGGGGTGGGGTGTCTGCGGTCGACTGGGTTGATGGTGGTGGGGCTTCCTTTGTTGTCCCCGGGAGCTAACGAGAAGTGGGTGCCGGCGGATGTCAGCCACAAGGGCGGGGACGGGGGGAAAGGACCCCCACAGGCCGCCACTGCCGTCGAGCGCCTAAATACAGCTACCGGGTCATCGGAACAGGCAGAGCCGCGGAGTCCGCCCCGCGCTCAGCCTCACGGGGAAGGCCGGCCGGGGGTAAGAGAAGCCCCAGGGGCCGGCCATGGGCCAACGGAGCGGAAAGCTCCCGGCGCTCACTCGCTCACCCGATTGGGATATTCCTTCTCCACACAGTCCCCACACATAGCGACGCCGTTAACCGGGAAGGTCCTCCAGTACTTCCGGGAAGACGAAACCTCGCGAGAGCGCAGAGAAGGTGGACGCATGCGTCCTAAGTACTCCGGCGTAGTTCGTCTTGGAACAGTCTAGGTCTCCGCCCCTTAGCAACTGTTGTTAGGGCACGCCCGGGTCTCTTATGCAACCGCGGTGAGCAAGCGGTCGGAATTATGGAACTGCAGGGGGGAGAGCGGCAATGTGGCGGGAGAGGGAAAGGGATCTTGGGCTGAGCAAAGTTCTAATAGGCGCCTTCCTGAGTCTAGGCTGACAGAAAAGCAAGTCACAATACACGAGAAAGGTAATTGTTTCTCATGTTCAGCTTTCTTCCCATCTTTCAGCTGCCTTGGTTTACTCCATATACATATAAAGCTGAAATTATAATTTAAATATTTTTCCTTAACCATTTCTTAGGGCAGTGAGAATGACAGATCAGATCTCGGCAGGAGAACAAGCAATAACTGAAGAGGCACTTAAAGCTTTGCAGAGAATCTCCTAAAACGAACATGTAAAATGTTCATAGTAAATTACCATCCCAGAGTCCTCTGGAGAACACAGCGATGGGAAACGTGTTTCTTTCTCTCTCTGTGTCACAGAAGCGCCTCAGGGTCAGGCAACACTATGGAAGTAGAAAATGGCCAGGTCAATGATCTCTGCATCGTTTCCCAATTTTGTGGAGCTCAAAATGCTTGTGATTGCTGCCCCGCTTCTTCTTTAATAACCATTTCAAAGCAAGCCAGTTTAATTGGCTTTGCTAATATGGGAATTCCATATCCACTGGAGTGTTGAAATTGTGACCTTTGGTATTTCACCCTCTGGTAAGGATCTGCACAATTACTAAAAGTCGCAGGTGTGCTAAGCAGCACTGCAGGAAGTAGTGCACCAGAGTTAACTCTATTCTTGGAATAATTATAATGCCTTCCATGTGTATGACATTTTCAGCATTTCAGTTTCTAATTTTATGCTTTTACAACCCTATAAAATTAGTAATGTGAACCCCCAGAAGAAATATATCTTCCAAGAAGGACTCCTCATGGTTAACTGGGCCCAAATTCCTAACTAGAGTCCAGCAGCCGTTGCTGACAGAGGCCCCTCACACGCTGCATTTCAGGGAAAAGCCACAGGCTGAGCTGCCAGCCTCCTGCACTGTGCTCCTGTAATGTCTTGTAAGCACATCTTGGACACTAGATTTAGAAAACTTAGTATGAAAAAAGTAAAACATTTCATTAGTAATTTTTATATTGATAATGTTGAAATAACTGGGCTAAATATAAATTATTAAAATTCATTTCACGTGTTTCTTTTTTTAATCTGACTACTAGAAAATTGAAAATTACAAATGTAGCTTGAATTATATTTCTGCATGAGGCTGGACTATGGAATTCCCTCTCTTGATTGATTTTTAAATGCATCCTCTGTTTTTAAAGCCTGATGGTGACTTTTAAAGTTACTACTATATCTATTTTATTCAATTCTATAGACATTTCTTGAGTGCCATCACTGTGCAAGGAACTGTGATGATGAAACAGGAAGATGAAAAGGACATTGTCCTTTCCTAGTCTCCAGATATTCACAATAGAGTGAGAAATAAAGTGAGCACAAATGCCCATAATTACTGGAAGCTTGTGGTTTTAGACCACAAAATGGAGAGACTTCTGGCAGATGGAAGATTGCAAAAGAAGAATTTGAGCCTTGAAGAATGTATATGATTTCCAAAAGCAGAGAGTTTAGTGTAGGAATTTCAGGTGGACCACACCAGAGCGCTTGGATTTTATCCTGCAGGTAATAGGGAGCCGCTGAAAGTTTGAACAGGAGAGGGATATCAGGGTTGTGGTTTAGGAAGATAATTTAAGCAGCATTTTATTGGGACTGATGGAAACTGGAAGAAATTGGATATGCAAAAGGGAAACACAAACACGAACCACAAGGGGGAGATGTATAGCTTTCTGCCTCATCCCCAATAGAGAACATTCATGATTTTAGAACAAATTAAAAATTACCCTGCAAAGGTCTCAATAACTAAGTTCTTTCATATGAATTGATTTAATGTTCGGAGGCATTAAAAACAATCTACATATTTACCAAGATCTTTTTACCTTTCCAGAGTGATACGGTATCTTGTTATTAAAATGAGCAAGTGAGTACAAACGTCATCTTATTCATAGGCACAACATTTCAAGAGCTAATGGCTATCCACCCAGTGAAGTTCCCTATTCAAATATAACCATGTTCGGGGGAGAGAGTCAGCAAATGTGACTGGCAGGAGGAGGTGGACAGGACCAAAAATTAAAGCGTGATTACGGTAATAGGCATATGAGAGTCTTTGAGGTTGACAGGTGGAAGAAAGAAAAATAGAGGCTACAAAGCAGGAGATTAGCACCGGAAAGGAATGATCAAGCAGTGATGTGAAATAATTTTGAAACAGTTCACCAAAAAAATCTATTTTCTAGGTAAGTATGTAAAATAAAATTTATAGGAACCTAATTTAAGGTTACCTTCTAATAGAATGTTCTCTTTAAATACTCAGAAACCTAAGCATATATGTTCTTTTTTACAGGCAAAAGGAAAGAAACCATTATTTGTACAGTTGATCCTGGAAAATATATGGAGTTTGTATGATGCTGTCTTTTAAATGCCGTCTTTTAAAGGTTAATAAACATGACGTCAATAACGTGTATCAAATATACTCACATGTTGCAATTTATGCATGAAATTATCTCTTGGTAAATGAATCCATTTAGGTAGCTCTAAATGTTAAAATGGTTCGATTATATATGCTAAACTACATCCCTGGGATAAGATTAAAATTTTGCCTTAAGGGTTGAATCTCCTGCCACCCTCCTTCTAGCCCTTTTTCTTTTGCTTTTTATGATGCCTGAAGCCAAGAGGCTGGAAGGATGCAGTGCTGAGTATACCTGTCCTCTTCACCCTTCGTTTAAAGGGGTGAGGAAGCACCCCAGCGCTTTTATGGTACTACTGTCAGACCAGTTTCACAGATGGAAGGAAGCTCAGCTCAAAGCAGGAGTTCAACTGCTTGGTGCAGGTATGTGTCATTCTTTCCACTGTCTCAAGGGAAGTGTGAAACAGGAGCCGTTGCCTTTATCTGGTATCACCTGCCTGGCATGAATGAATCAGCAGCAATTCCAGGTTAACACTGTGCACACAGGTGAGCCTGGCCAAAAGGGTCAGGACCAGCCTTGTTAATTTATTTTTTAGTTCAGTGGCCAAATTGGACTTTCTTCCTTTTGTGGTGCTCATAGCTATTCAGATTATAAACTCCAGGCTTCGAGTACATGGTGTTTAAAAGCAAGGGAATAGCTACTGTTTCTCTTCAATTGTTTTCTTCAGCTCTCCTCACTTTCTTTCACATACAGATGATCATTTCCATATATAATTTTTATGATATATGTCAAAATCTCTGATGTAGTGATTTAGAAAACTAATATTTTATTAACATTAATATTTTAGAAAAATATTATCTCTCAAATCTTATATAGATTGGGGTGAATTTAATAATCAAAATGCAACTGGGTTTTAAATATGCTTTTATTTTATTTCATTCCATTTCTAATGTGTGCTCCAAGGACATAGGAAAAAAGAACAGACTTTTGTTCTTTGCACCTATATTGACTTTGAGAGGTGAAGGAGTTTGGAATTTTTCGAGAAACCAAGGAAGTGAGGAGAGAGAAGTCAGGAGGCTCCTGGTTTGTCCTGGAGAATGGCCAGCAGACAGAGGGTTTGCTTCACAGTAGTTCAGGCACAAAATTCATAGAAATCAAGAAGCATGGGTAATTTTGAAAAGAGTAGTTTTGACTTGGAATGGAGAAGGGGGACATAGAAGCTGCAAGGAATATTTGGGAAATAACATGGTGGTTTAAAGGTAAGATTTTAGATTCTGGTCCTAGTTGTACCTTAATAACAGTAGGACCTTAAGCAAGTTGCTTATTGGCTGGACTTCAATTTTCTCATCTGTAAAATAATGACAATAATTAATATATCTACTTCACACGGTTGTTTTAGATACACAAGTATATATATATGACTCAAGGGTGCTAGGAAAAATAACTGGCCATTAGCATGAGTTCTAAGGTAGAAGGGAGCATAATAAATTAGGAAAAGGGGATTGGTAATGACTAGCAGCCTGCCCAAACTGTGACTCTGTGTCTAGCTGAATTGGGTAATATGAGACTGTGTACTTTAATTTGTACAAGATGGTTTGTGTGCACTTGAAAAGACTGAGTGGGCATATTGTGTTGGAGAGGACACTGTGGGGAAGAACTGCACTAGGGGGGGAACCACAGAAGGTGGAGAGAGAGCAACAAGCCAGACCCCCCCAGGAAGCAGACTTGGAAAGTTACCCAAATGCCCAAAGAGGCAGGGAGCCCTACTCACCGATTTCCAACTCCGCTTCTGGTTCCTTCTACGTCTTTCTCTTGACAGAATCTTCTTTGAGAGCTAATGCGAAAGTACATACAAGGTTTGAGAGAACTGAAGTATGTTATTAAGCATCTACAGAAGACAGTGCTCGAAATGTAACAGTTATAATATATCTTATTATGCTGCTGCTTTAAAAGCTCCTTGATTCCCCACTGCCTTCAAGATAAAGACCAAGTTTCTTGCTAGAGCATTCAAAGCCTTTTAAAATTTGGCCCCAGTCTACTTCTCTCACCTCATGTCCAGCTGCTCCCACCTCTCCTTCTGCTCTCCTGTCCTTGTCCTCATACATTACCTATTTGTAGTCTCATTGAACTTCTCAGGGGCCCAACCACACCAAATTCTTTCAAGTCTTCTTTCTAGCTTTTTGTGTGCTGTTCCCTGTTCCCAGAATGGTCCTTTCTCTGCGTGTTGAAGTCATATGTAGTCTCTCAGACATAAATCAAACATCACTTCTTCCATGAAGACTGGATATTGGTTTCCTGTTCTGAACTCCTATAATAACATGTTATTCACTCCCCTACTATGGAATGCACAGTCACCACAGACTAGGACTCCTTGAGAATGATGCTTCCTTCCCAGCTTTTATGCTTGACACATAGTGGGTGCTTGGTAATGT